ACTGGCCATGCTTTAGAAACCTGGTCTGTGAAAAATTCAGGTAGGGCACTTAAATGTTGCACACAAAGCTACAAAACAGATTTTACTTACTCTGGGGGAAAGCAACATTTTTCACTAAGGAGTTGATGAGCAGTTGTGGGTTGATTTTTCTTTTTCTTTTTTTAAAGCAGGTTGATGATGAAAAAAAATCTCAGAACAGTATGACTATCATGAGAATGATTTCTAAAGCAGGAAGCATGACAGCCCCACACCCACAACAGCAGAAGCAGCTGCCACATGCAAGTTGTCAGCCACACACTGCAGGTCTGATCCTGCATTACTTAAAGCTACTTGGAGCTTTGACATTGTCTTCAATGAACTGCACAATGCAGAATTAACTAAAAGCCCAGTGTAAGAGAGGAAGAACGAATGGCTGGTATTACCCAAGTCGGAAGGTATTTCACATCCCCATCTCAAAGCAAGAACTGCTATGATAGAGCCCATCCTGAACAGAAGTACCAGGACCACCACCACCTACACTCAGGATCTGCAGCACTAAGAAAGGATCCCACCAATATGAAATAACAGTAATTAAAATGATCTCCAACCTCATCTGAAATTCCCTGCAACATGATTTCAGTGCCTCACAGATTCTGAATGCTGGAAGATAAATTTCTTCTTGATGCTAAGGAAAAAAAAAATCAGAGCAGGTTGTTTCAATTTTATCTGGAACATTTCCACCTGCCCACCTCTTTTCTGCACAAAGCCTTTCCAAGTTCAGTGGAAGTCCACGCCTGGCTTTAAGCACAGGCAACATAAGAAGCTGCTGGGTGTCAGGAAGACTTCCATAGCCCCTTTGCCTCTGCTATTGCAGCGGAAAGCCAGACCCGCTGCTGCTAGCTGAGAGAGAATCGGGAGTAGGGGCAGCTGACTGTAGTGGTTGACCAGCAGTAATCATAGCCTCTGACCCTGCCGTTCCTCAGGGTAAGGAAACAGCAAACCCAGCTCTCCGGGAAGGCACCTGTGGCAGCATGGCCCAGATGTGGGAAGCACTTTGCCTGCATTTGAAAAAGCTTGGAGCAACTCTGCCTTACAAAATGGCAGCACCCCACTGTCCCTGAGCAAGGCAGCATCTCCCCTGCTTGCAGGAACTCCTAAGGAGATGAGATCCTTTCTTTTGCAGAGGTCAGGGCAGCAAAGCAGCTGTTCTCAAAAAAGCAATGACTCATAGCAATGCCAGAGCCCCCATAGCCTGTCTCACACTGTGAAAGCAGCAAAAGCAGTGCAGGAGGGGAAAAGTAAGGAATTACAAGGATTGCTCCATTCTGGGCACAGCTACATGCTGTAAATTTCTGGTTACAGGTCAATTATCCCCGCAGCTCTACATGGACAGCCTGGTTTTACAACCGCCTTTCCTGACTTTGGCACAGAGTCTGGCTGCAGGCAGCTGCCCATCAGCACACCATTTACCTCTAGTGCTACACGGGTTACCTTGTCACAGGGCTCCAGATTCCAGTCTGAACCAAGGACCCATTACACAGTATAAAATATGCCAAGATATTTTCAATGCAGAGAGTTTTCAATGCTGTAAGGAACAGCCTTGCTTTCCACACATTAGCACATTGAAATCTGTACAGCAACCCTGTCAAACAAAGCAGCTGCTCTCTGGCTCTCCTACACCTCTCCTCAGATGGAAGAGCTTCAATTATGTGGCATGCCTGCAGGATTTTGGAGTTAAATAGCTGTTGCCATATCACATACTTTAACCTTTTGCCTTCCTCTAGGCACTGTATAAGAAGATCTGATGTACTAGTCTGTTCATTTTCATATGGTGGCTCAATGCAAAAGGTTGCCCTCGGAGTTTGTTTTTCACAGCAGGGATGTAGGAGTACAAAACCAGAAAACTACTTAATTACTTATTCCCTGCCCCTACATTTTCAGACTAGCAAGACAAGTTATAGAAAATATTTTCTAAGGGAATATGATCAACTGTAGAAAAAAAGTAATTGAAAGTAACTGCAACGTCCAATTTTACTGAATTTTATATAAGAGCTCCAAGACATTTACATACTTACAATCTTTAGACAAACACGACCACATCCCATGATTTTCAGAAGGAAGCATGGAACATCCTTCACAAATAACAGTCAGGAACATTTGTAGCCCACCTCAGTTGCTGCTTAGATACCACAATAATGGCCATGCTAAAAGGCCTAATTAACTCCCACTGATTTCAGAGAAGTAACTAAATTAGAGCCAAAACAGATACATTAACATGATACCTTAACTTGCAGTCGCCTCCTGCTTTTCTCTCAGTCACTCTGGCAACATATCAATTATCACAATACTCAGATTAGCTCCTGTTTCTAAACAAATGCTGGAAAGGTGAATCTTTTCCCCTAAAAAGATTCTGCAGCATAATCAGCAACATGTACTAAATGATTGTAAACCACAGTCATCTTCCAGCAAAAATAAATTTAAGGAGCTGTCAGTTCAAACTGTCAAATCTAAACTACTTGACAGTGTATTGAACCTTTAAACTTCTGTTAAGAGCAAAAGATTCATCAGACACACTTATAGGTCTGTAATCAGAAATGTCAGGCAGTAAGACAGCACAAAGTCTTGTTTTATATGCACCAGAAATATGTCAGCACAAGCAGCATAGCAGTGTAAGATAAGATTTCCTGCAAGAATATTTTAGCTACCTTGAGCCTGATTTTTATAATCATCCCTGATATTTCCAGTAACCTCAATAGATCGTAAGACTAGAGGACCTGTAGAAATAGCACTTCAGGCATTTAAACATTCACCTGACATGCTTTAACACAAAGAACAAACGAAAAAAAAAATCTAGTTTGGAACTTGAGAAGTTAGCCGGCTCTAGAGCTAGCAGGATGAAAAAGGAGCCAGAAGGCCTAACTCAAGTGCCAAAAAGTACATCAGTAATACCACACATCTTCTGAGAGATGCAGCTTACATCAGGAAGCTAGTTAGAAAAAGTGTGTATGACATCAAGAGTCAAGGCTGGAAATCAATGTAGGCTAGCTTCACATCGCACATGAAACCTGCTCTCTACCCCGCGTTAGTCTGTCTGCTGCAGACTGCTGACATATTGGCTTACATGCTCTTACAGAACAAACTGAGTCATGCTGCTAAGACTTGAAAATAAATGTTTTTAAAAAAAACGCTGCATTCTGCAGGCAGAACATCCAATTTCACAAAGCTGAGGCTCATGATACATACACACTTGCCCATTTTGCCCCCAAGATTACCTTTGTGCACCAACTCATTTCTGCATGCAAAACTCAGTTGTGAAACAGACAGCTACATGCACTCAACTTTAAGAAAAGAGTTAAGCCTTTTCTTAAAGGCCTCTTTATTTTTAAATTCCTTCAAAACATAAATTAATTTAAACAAATCAGATGCAAAACACCTGCATTTTAAATTAGCATATATTTTACTGTATCAATCACAGCAACCTCATACAGTAAGATACACAAAAATAGAGCATGGTATCACTTCAATTCAACACAGTTTTGTACTACAGTATTCCATGACATATATACACAGGACTTTTCTTTTTCAAAGCAAGTAGAGTCCCTGCTATGTTCACCGTAAAAATTACGTGGCATCACAGTTTTAGTTATTCACTGTAGTGTGAGTAGCCATATGGAAATTGAACTAGTGAACTAGAAGATACACTGTATAGCAGCCAAACAGGCATGACACTTCAGAAGATGAACAAAAACAAAATAACCACCAAAATGAAAACCACCCTTAGACTGTATTTTAATAGTAAAATTGTTTTTAAATTCTTCACTATATACATAATGTATCTACATTTGTGTCATATTTATATATATATATATTTATAAAAAACCATACAAGATTTTGAAAACCTTAAAATCATTCACCTAAACAATATTCACCCCAACCTTCAGGGTCAGCAAGGCAATACTTGCCTATAACATTATGCTCAGCTGCAGTCACTTGATTCAGAAATTTCCCTGATTGCTAAACACACGCCATTCACTTTGTTTCTTAGTGCAAACTGTACAGTAATTTATTGTTCTCAGCCCTCTGTAAGACTCGGGTTTCATCTTATTTCCATAATACTTCCGACACCCATTTATGGCTAAAATTTTTTTAGCTATTTTACAACATTAGCCTATATAGTTTCCCCCTCTACCTACCTCAAGCCCTACCCCCACCCCCAAAATGTAAGACAAACGATCATTCATGCATGTTTCTGTCACACAGGGATCAATGGACATTTAAGTTTAGAAGCCTAGACTCTAACAGTGTTTAAAAAACCCCAGGTGAATAATTTTAGTGCAAAGTGGACTACATAGTTTACATCTCAGCTAGAGTTCTTTACAGATATTTTAAACACATTTAATTCTGCACATCAGATTAGGTTGCCTGATACTTTGTTCTAACTAGCTAGTTGGAATAAGGAGGTTAGAAGGATTCTTGTGGGTTTCCTTTTAATAAAAAACTAAAGCCTATTCATAATCAGGTGTTGTTTGGGGGTAAAACTGTACAGAGCCTAGCACATCAGAGACCTGGTTCTCAGCTAGGGTTCCTATGTGCTACAGTAATACAGATAAATATTATTATCTGATTCACATCCATAACTGATGGGTTTACTTTAACAGGAGTCACAAATGAGCTCTGATTTTTAACCAGGCCAGTGCTTTACTTGCTGGACTACACTACAGACTTTGCAGTGAATTTGGAAGCAAGCATAACATTTATACTTACAATTTCCATAACCACAAAGGAAAAGCGTGCACTGAGAACCAAAATCCTCCAATTCTCAGACAAGACTCCACTTAGACTAGCGGTAGCCTTATCAGAGGGAAAAAAATGTCAGATTAAAAACCAAAAATTGATCAGTGCCAAGAACATCAGTCTGCCACAGTGACTATAATAAGCTATGAAATACAGTACAAGGAAAAACAAAAAGTCACCTGAACAAATAACCCAGAGAGACTTCATAGTTATAATGATTTTACCAATTTTAAGAACTCAACACATTAAATATTTATTAAAAATAAACTGTTTCCAAATTACCTATTTACAGTACAAAGAACAGTACTTAATACATGTGCAACAGAAAGTAAAGAAAATTAGTACTCATCTGGAAGGACAACATTCTAGGCATAATTTAAGTGACATGAATACAGGTTCACCTTTTTAAAATACTATACAGTAAAAACCAGTAGGATGATATTGGCAACACCAGAAAATAAAGCACGTATTGTCCAGATTCAGATTATATAAGCTTGAGATAAACAACCGGGAGGTAAGGGGAGAAGGAAGAAACATAAAGACGAAAGGAAGAGATGCTGTGGTGTTTGCATTTTGGAGATCAAGAAATGCAGACACGCTTCAAAAAATAGTCCTTATTGGCAAAACAAGCCATTCACATATTTCTTGCACATTTTAAAGTCATACTTTATCAAAAACCGGCAGTAGCTTCATCACTCATAGAAAATGAGAATCTTAATTTTTAGATTTTATTTTCAAGCCTTGCATTGTTTTATTTGGGCAAGGAGATGACTGCAATGTAATAGAAAGGTGCGATGTCACTTTTCTAAAATGCAACAGTTGCCAAGTTTTAAAGAAAAATGTGCTCTTCTCCCCCATTTAAATTGAAAAGTAATGATCATTTAGGAGTTACCTAAATTATAGCAGCATGAAATCTAATGTATCTGCAGCATCTGTGAAGCCACAAAAATCAAGAACTGGCACCTGATCACTGAACCATGGTTCCAAGTATTTGGACATGTCATTTTTATAAGAGGTCAGTGTATTTTCTTATCAGTGGAGTCAGTACATTAGTTAGGATAGCCCTTTCCCCTCCCCCTTTTCTTCCCCTCCAAAAGAGACTAATCAAGTCTATCTATAAACTACATGGGACAGCTGGGACGATTTATAGTTTAACTGATTGTTTGGCATGAATCTGTGAAGCTCGCTTTTCCTACAGCAGGGATCGTAATAGTAAGCATTGAGGCAAGTGTCACATGAGACTTTTGAGCAAAACGTGCAAGTGTTTGCAGCTCCAGATCGGTTGCAAAAGCCACAGCGTGAGGTGCCTGAAGGTTTGGATTTTGAACTGAACTGAGCAGCCCTCTCTTGACTCTGAGTCTGTGATGTGTACTGAGATTTCTCCCTTAAAGCAGATGCAGGAGACAAGCCATCATTTGGAAGTGGTTTGATTGAATAGGTGCTCTGTTTCACTGCTGGATATTCCTGCCTAGAGTTGAATAGATTGTCACACTTTTGGCAAACAGAAGTGCCACAAGGTACGCCACAGTTTTGGCACTTGAGGGAAGCTGTCTCTTTGGCTAGGTGGGTGCGTTTGTGGTAAACAGGGTTGGCATCACTTTTTAACACCCAGACATCAGGCTTAATAGCTTCTTGTCTTTTAAAATGTAACATACTTCTAGAATCGGGATCAGTATATAAATCTAAGTCCTCTTGAGCAGAAAAATAGGAGCTGTAAGGGACATTTGTTCTTAGCATGCCATTGTGATGAGATGAAGTTGGCAAGAATTCATCTGAACACCCATGTGGGGAGCTTGACATTGTCAGAAGAGAGGGTGACGGACGGATAATTTCATCTTTAATGTCATCTTCCGCATCAACTAAAATTGGTTCTTTCCTGAGACTCAGTGAGCTCATCAAAGGTGGTTTCTTACTTTCCCAATAATTATCATATGTGTCCACTGATTTAGAAGGCTTGCTCACCTTTGGCTTGAAATAATCTTTAGAGGCCCGTTCACTCGCTGATTTCTGGAGTACCATTCGTGCCATAGAAGTATTTAAGTTTTCTTTGCATTCTGCACGCCGTTTCATGGCTTCTGAGCAGCCTCTAACATCTTCATTGCTATTTTTTCGTTCATTTATGACATCAATCTCTGAATAACCTTTATCCTTCACTTGCAAGTGAATTTCAAGAAGCTGCTCACATTCCACTTTGGCCAAAAAGAGTTCAAATGAAACCATTTTCACTTGAATGGCATCAACCTGCTCTTTGAGCTTATACATTGTTCCCAGTTCTTGGACATAGCCCATGTAGTTCAAAATCTGCCTTACATCATCTTCAGTTAGAGCAGACTTTACATAATAAACAAAAGGTCCAGTGTAGGTCTAAGGGGGGTGGGGGGGAAATAAAAGGAAAACTAGGTTACAAATTCAGTGGTGGACTAGATGTTCAGATAATTCAGTGACAGATACTATATAATTAAATAGAATAATAATGACAGTGAACACATGCAACTCCCATGGCAAGATGAACTCCATTTCTGCATCCCTCCTGTTCAGCAGATGGAAATTCTGCATGAGGCAAATTCAAAGTAGGAGAGTTTTCATTCAAATTGAAATCCTGATTAGCATAATGTCCTCCCTGTTGATTTAAATCACTATGCTATATACTGACATTAACTTTTATGCATACCAGACTTGTTTGCATTTACAAGCAAGTGTACCATGAAAGGTAAAAAGGCAGAGATTTCATGTATTGCCCCTGGGGCTAGCTAGAGATAACAGGAACTCAGAATTACTGCAGGAGTACCAAAGTCCTCTTCAATTCAGCTTTAAATATATTTGAGGTGCGAGCTTTTTTGTGTACTATTACTATGCAATTTCAAATGTCTGTTTTATTTAATTTTATATTAGGTCAAGAACTTCCACTAAAAAAGGCCCAAAAACAACGATATGATTTTGCGCAAGTTGAAATACCTTTAGCATCTGGCATACCTGAGGTATGTTCTTAACCCAGTTCAAACTGTTTTGGATTGCAGGCGAGAGTCGCCTGCCCATCACATCTTTGTATAGAACAGGTACTGGATCCACAGTGCACAACCAAAGTCAGTATCAGCAGTGCATCAAGAGATATCCTCGATGGATCAGCCAACATTTCAAAGGCCAGAACTTAAGCATAATGATGAAGAAGATTTATGGAGAGATCTTGAAGAAAAGTAAGTTTCCCCTCAGGGAAGCAGAGAACTCTCAAATGTTCTAATAATATTCAAATTCTCTGCTAAATAGTGAAACAGCATCTTTTTAAGAAAAACAAAGAAACAAAAATACCCATCACTAGTGCACACAACCTGCAAATTACTTTAGATACCTATACCAGCAGTGTTTTTATCCAGCTTTCAAATCTCAAAATTGTTCTTGTAAGTCACCTGCAGCATTCATTACTGAAATGCTGCAGCACTTTTGAATAAGCATATAAGAACAGGTAAAAGATAAAATAGAAAAATCAACAGCAGAGAACTCACTATCTGACTTCCAGCACCCAAGCCGAGCAATACGCAAGTTCCTACTTTTCCCTCTGAGATCCTGGCATAGGTAAATAATTTGAAAGTACATTAAAATCAAAACTTCATGAATTGAGAACTGACAAGCAGATAAAAGATATTCTGGAAACAATTCGTTCAGAGAAGTTCCTTTACCATTATCATATAACTTGTGGGAAACTCAGCAAAGCATCCACTTGAAAGCATGCATTGGTTGTTAGTACTTGTGCTCCATTAACAGCTGTTGCAAGACAAAAATCAAACTTTGAGTGAGCTTAAACACAACTTGACTGCTCACCCTACTGAAAGCATCTCCAAGTAGAAATTAAGACACTGTAGCAGGGTAGGCTGAACAAAAACCTTAAACAAGCTCTTCCTCTATTTTATGGTTACACCATAAATGCAGATAGTACTTGTACTTCTGCTCTCAGGATACTCTCACCAGCACAAACTTCACTTATTTTACATAGAAACTTTCCTATGGCTTCTGTTTACCAACTGTATATAGCCAAATATATACATCATGCTAATAGGTGGGGGGAAAAAAAAGTCTTTAAAGGAAATGCATAAAAAGTGTTAAAAGAAAAAAACAAATCACGTTCTCACTATGGCCACACATAAAATGTCTTACCTTAATATTTTTGAACTCCTTTTTCCAGGGGTAAAGAAAGAGATTAATTCCAACTGTCTCGAGCACGCTGAATGCATTATGGAGAGAATGTAAACTTGAGGATTTCACAGATCTCAGTGAGTTTTCAGCCATCTCGTAAAATTTTATCAACCGGAATCTATAAAAGGGATCAATTTTGGGAAGGCAAAGTAAGGCTGCCGCTGCCACTCGCAAATACTCATCATTAATAGGACGCTGCTTGTTGTCAGAGGCATTCAATTTGCATTCATGGAACTGTACATACTTCCTAAATAAATCGTCTTTATATTTTGTATCCATTGAAATCAGTTTTTATCTCACACTTGGGCAGCTACCTCGTCTCTTTCATGGTTATTCGGCAGTAGGTTGATTATCTGGCATTAAGAATCTTCAGTAACGGCAACTCTTCTGGAATAAAAATTGAAAACAAAGACAAGTCATCACAGTTGCATAAATCCCAGATGTCCACAGCATCTATCTGCTTCACAGGATTCTGTAAAATGGTTCACAGAGCAGCAGCTCCCAGAACTGCCTCTTTAGGTTTCTGAAAAAGCACAAGGGTCTACAGAAATGCTGTTGTCCTGCTTTTCACTGTCATTCTCCGCTCCTCTTCCAGTTATCTGCCTAAAACAGCACAACAAGCCTACATCGAGCGAGGCACCGAGAATGTGATACAATAAAGCTGGTGTAGGCTCAAGCCCAGACTGAGGGTTCCTTGGCTTAGGGAACCAAGGCAAAAGTAACTCACAGCAAAAAACTGAAAGGAGAAGCATGAGTTTTTAGAGTTTCTTCTCTGCATTATATTTTACCCTTTCAGCTCAGACAACCTACACAAACATTATATTAATCAGTCACTGTTTGGGGTTTTTTTTGCCCTGCACAGTGATACAGAGATTAAAAAGTCCCACAAAGAAGTTTCATTTTGCTCAACTTGGGAAAGCATCTACTTTTTTTTTCCTCTAGTGGCACAGGACTGCCCATAGACTGAGCAGATTAATTAACTTTGCCTTTCTACTTCTAACATTTGCTAGGCTTTTGACTGCCACTCACATTCCACCTGATGGCACACCCAGGCCACCACTGTGCTGGGAGAGCTCTGCAGCCATCCTACAGAGAACAGACTCCCCTGAATGCTGCAAAGTACAGCCAAAGTTTCAGCTGAATGCTGGCAGCTGCAAAGAAGATTGTAATCTTTTCAGCAAAAAGCTACACCTGCCATTTTTAGCTGCTTTATTAGAACAGAGCAAAATCATTCTGTTTTTACATCATGTACACTTTTGTTTGCAGGGATAGTTGTTTTTATGTATATACTGATCTATATTTTCACCTCACTGAGCTCACATACTACACAGAAAAAGCTTCCTAATGCTCCTTTACCAAAACCGCAGTAATTAACAGGCCAACAGACTCCACCTCGACTGCCTGAGGAACTTGTGATCAAAAAGCAGACCACAGGCTTTGTTTTTTTAAATGAAAATGCAATCTAGCCCTTACGGACTTCCCAACTGTGAACCAAAGGGAGGGGAGGCGGGGGAAATCAATGCACTGTTTCGGTTATAGTCAGTCTGAAACAGCACTTTAGAAAAGACTTTCCACCCAATATTAATTGCAGCTGCTAGAATACTTATCAATGCCCCCACACACTCTTGTTAAAATGAAAATCACTGTTAAGAGCAAAATTAACTGAATGAAAGGAGCCATAACACAAAATACATGGCGGGGGGGGGGAAAAACACAAACCAACAACCAAGAGGCCAGGAAAACAAACAAACAAAAAAATCAACAGCCTAGCAGTTAATATTACTTGATGAAAGGCTACACTTAATGACAACACCATGTGGGAAAAGTTAACTAGCAGTTCAATTTCTGCTCAAAGGCACACTGCTCTCGGTCTTTCCACAATCAGAAATTGCACTGATGCCGAGAGACAAGCTGTGAATCACAGGAAATGTGGAGTTCTAAATTAACATCTGAGCATAAGGGACAGGAGTAAACCCTTCTCTCTCCCCAGATCTTTCCTCCTTAGGTTGTGCAAGCTGAAGTCTGTGGACAAAGACAACAGAATGTCTGTTCCTTAGCCAGAAGGTCTCCACGAGAGAATTTCAGAGAAAGACCTTTGTCTGGCATATCAGTAATACACCCCCAGGACAAGGAATGATCCTGTGCTGACAAGGAGCTGGAGTAAATATTACAGTTCTTCCACCTCCACTGTTAATAACTACTAAACAAAAGCGCTTGGTTAGATGTACAAGACATCAGGATTAGGAAAGACCCCAAATGAAAGTCCTTCATCAAGGCCCTACGGACTGTGACACTCAGAGCCACTGCCAGCTCCGATTTTGACTTGTGGTTTGTACAGAAGCCAGAGTTCACACAGCTGAACGGCAAAACACGACAAACCAAACATGCCAGCAAGCCTTCGCAGCGCTGCTCCTCCACACACGTTGCTTCCAGAAGCAAAACATCCCCGTCCCAGGCAGCCCACCCAGCGCCAGGCAGGCTCCGAACAGCTAACAACCATGGTTACAAGGCTCAATAAAAACCTCAGTATGTGAGCAGGCACAGATAAATATAGTTTTAAGAAACACACTGGCTGAAAGAACAGATAAGGAAACAAGGCTGTTTTGCTACGAATTATTGACTGAAAACCTCAAGATTTCATGGAGATGCACAAATAGTAAGTTCTGCTCTGAGTCTCGTTTCTGCTGGTGAGACAAGAAAACGTTTCTATCCATCTCCCGGGTCAAAACCTCAGGTGAGGGAACCAACACTCTGCCTACCCTGGGCTGCTTGGCAGGGCACGGTCACGCAAAAACCTTTAGAGCAAGAGGGGAAAAACACAGGACAGGTACAACCTTCTCCTAACCCACGCTAAGGAGACCAGAAATGCCAGGCTTTCACCAAACATTTGAAAAGAAAACTAACCCGAATACAAAGACCATTTAATAGCACAAGAGCACACCGCACCGCTGAAGAATTTCAGACCATAAAACACCGGAGAAAGAGAAAACAACACACAAATTAACACCCGCCTGAAGCC